AAAGGTCTTAAATGCACAATACAAGGCAGGGGTCCCAGGCTCCAGGTGTGCAGTGGAGCAGGCTAACACCTGAGGTGGAGGACTAGATGATTGTGCACAAAGGCATCTAAAGCAGTGTGTAAGGACCATGTAATCTTGAGTGACAGCAGTGCACCCAGTGCTGTGCTGATCACCAGCATTAATACAGCACCACTGAGTATTAGAAGACCTGTTGGGTTTGATCCCTGGGGATGGTGCTTTGGGCACCGGTGTTGCTTCAATTATGGAAAGTTGGTTTTCTTCTGGGCTATATTTAGGCCAGATATTTAGGCTATATCTGACAAGATATTAAGGGTTATCTTTGTGAGACGCAATGTAGACATTAAGGTTTTCCTCCTGTAGAGCACTGTAATTAAGTTATTAGGTCTTCAGTGTATCAAGGAGGCAAATAGGATAAATATATACAATTAAGATGCACCTGACTCCAAATTTATTCAGAATTTTGAAGAACTGTGAGGTAATTAAAATCCAGGTGTACATTCAATGTTTTCTGTAGTAACAAATCAAAAGCTAAAGACTTGTATGTTAAACTGAACATCTGTCACGGTGTCCTGTATCTCTGTATGGGGATATATCCAGCTGTTGATATTTTTTCGACCTTGAGGACCTGCAGCTCCTCCTCAGGGGTGCTCCAGCGCTCCTCCAAGCAGGGCCTCTCCAGCTCCCCCAGGTGATCTGCGTTCTTCTGCTCGGGGCTGAGATGTTCATGCTCTTTGGGTTATTGAGCTTAATGTGTTGTTTCCTATTGTAGGGCCGCACTGCGGAACAGTGTTTAAGGCACAGGACTCCTAACTGGAAGGTCTGTGTTAAGTCTTGCATGGAGCACTTCTGTTATATTAACATTATTATTACATTATTATATCCTTGGACAAAGTACTCTCTTCATATTGCTTGAAATGAGCTTCTCCTGTCCGTGTGACTGTTTTTCTGGGGAAACCGCCCAGAAACCCAGTTCCAGCCTCATCACATCTCCCCATTTGTCCTGGGGAGTCAGTTGGCTACTGTTGGGCAAATCCATGTCTTTCTAATATGTCACTACAGACCCCAGATTCACGAGGTCGACATTAAGTCTGGGAGACACCGTATCCCGATGATACCACAGCTTGTGAAGATTCCCACTTGTCGTTTTCCTTCCCAAGCATTTTTCTCATGGAATATTTGAGGTCCATTTCTACCTTCCTGTTGAGGTAGCAGCCATCTCATTAATCTGGAGATTGTTGGTGGTTTCTAGAGTTGAGGCTGTTACTCTGTATTATATCTTCAAGACTAAACTCTTTTGCCTTAGAGTGTCTGTGAAGCTCCTTTAGTACCTTCCTGGCAGTTAATTCAACTTCCGGAAACTTCAGTACAAATACACTGAGGTGTTGTGATCTTACCAGCTGACTGAAAATACATTCGAGGATAAAACTGATAGGATTTTGCTTTTAGCATGTTTACTAGTGTGAATAAATCTTGTGCATTAAGAGATGCAGAAAATGTGTTTATTAGTTGTGCCGTCGATGGTGCTGGAATACTATCAACAACAGAATGAATAATTACATTTTCTTGTATATTATTATGTTTTAAAAGTTACCAGATCTTTATGTTGGTCTATATTTCATGACCTTTTTTTTAGTTACAGTTTTATCAGGGGGGGGCTAGGATTCTGCTGTATTACTTTTTGCTTTATTCTATTTGATGTAACAGTAATGCATTTTTTGGACAAAAAACAATCTCATCATAGTGCAAGACGGTTTCATTCAGTGGCCACTCCATCGCACACTCACTTATTTTCCTCTGTAAGGATTTCGGTGCTCGTAGGATGCTTTTCTGTTGCATCTGTTGAAAGCTGTTGCTGAAGGCACGCGTTCAGAGTACATTCTGTGACTGCTACAGAGTGCTCAAAATTACAACATGCGGTTTTAGGAAGCACTCCGTGGGTCCATAGTTTACAAAACTGACCTTCTCCTGTGTTCACCATCTTTTATTTTTATAATCCTATGTACGAGTGCATTTATGAGATGTAATGCAGCAATGCCTGCTTTCACAGAAAATGCTCACCTTGTATTAAAAACGAGATCAATTCATGTTGTCCCTCAGATATCACATTGACCCTGTCAGCATGCTTCCTTAACAGCCACGTTTTGTAGCTGGGAAATGGGGCATATTGCCACCTTAGTTGGGAACCCTTAAGTAATGCCCATAAAATAAAGGGTCTCCGGGAAGTTGTGTGCAGCTGGGACAGCCGAGCAAAGTTAGTAACACTTAGGGATGCAAGAATGAAACTTATTCGAACAGAAACTCATGCTTGCTTTTGCATTAACTGCATGGTTACCTTCTAGAAACACCAAAAATGTTTTTTTTTAACCCTCTCTTCTATACTTCTCTCCAAAAATAACCACTGCCGCGCATAAAGGAGTGAAGTCCTGTGGGTTTGACCTCGGAAGTGAGCTGTCGTTCATCTTTCACCAATGGCAGTCGTGCTTGGTCCACGACCCCCGTTAGTCTCTTTAGCTGAACTGCGCCGCATCGGCGCCCTCGGTCAGGGCTTTCCGCCCCCAGGCGGCCCAGGCACTGTGCTGCTGCCGTTGAGCCTCTGTCTTCGGTGGAAGAGCACCCTGCTCCCTAGTGCGAGGGTGCAGCCAAGGGCTGTCGTGCATAGCGACAGCAGTCTAATTGCAGCCTGCATGCGGTGGCTCGATTCATGAGTGAAGAGCGAAGCAAATGGAAATATTTGTTTTGGGAGATTGTTAGACTGATGTTAAACCTATTAGTAACAGCAGCTTTGCTGCCCGTTTGGATGCTGGTCCTGCATTTTAATCTGAGCACACCAGTTCCACATGTTAGAAGAGGTTACATTGCCTACATTGCGTCTCACAAGAGGTTAAAGTCCCTGTTGTGGCGTTCATGAGATTTTTGTGTTGGTGAGGCATGAGAGATAAAGTGTAAAAGGCTCGGAACAATATCCTAAACCAGTTCCGTGGCGGATGATAGATTTTCCAAGGCTTAACTCTGGGCGAGTGACAGTCTGGAGACAGAAACCGAAGTGTTTACTGAGTAATTAATCTTCCTCTGCACTGTTAACCTCAGCGTTGTTGACTGTTGATATGAAGTTGCAGCAGCTGGAGAATAACTTGAGAAGGCAAGCTTTCTGCGGTCGGCTGTTGAGCCTCAGGCCTGTAAGGCAGTGTTGATGGCTCGGTGGCTGGGCTCCTCGGTGAGGAGGAGGCAGCAAGAGTTCAGTCCTCGTGTGCACGTGTGCTCTGGTGCTGCACCCCTGCACCACAGCCCTCCGGGGCCCGGGGTGTCCTAGGCCGTGCAGCTGGAGGAAATGTGCGTGGAACAGTCTAGTTGCATCCTCACCTAAAGCCTGCGCGGAGGTTGTTTGCTGATGGGGCGCTGGCGTGAGTGCGTCTGGCCCTGCCCTCGGCGCACAGCTGCCAGTCCGCGGAGGAAAGGGAAGTGTGGTTACTCGCCTGCGCTTGGAGGGGGTTTGCAAGCCGGCCTGCCCTGAGGTTTTTTTTTTTTTACCAGGCTCTGACATTTACTTGCTGCCAGTGGGGACCCGCCCTGCCAAAAAGAGCTCATCGGAATCCTGAAAAACCTCAAAAGACACCTGGTCCCTCTGGGGCCCTGTCATTGATCCGCTGTTTGGAGCAAAACCTGCAGCTCCCAGGCCGCTGAGGGCGGTTGTGTGCAGATTTCCTGTGCTTCGTTTGTTTAGCTGCAGTAAGGGGACGAAAAGTGTGCAGCTGAGCTTCTGATGGGTCCCGGCGTGAAAGCTGACCCTGATTAGCTCGGCGCTCTGCAGGTTGAGCCGGTGAATGCAGGTCGTCGTGACCAGTTTTTCCCCCCATGGGGCTTTGCTGAAGCTTGAGCGAGAGAGCGAAGCATTAGTGTAGCATGGGCTGAGAAAAGTCCAGATCTGTGGTCATGTTTTTCCAGAATGTGAAATGAGACGCTTTTATCGATGTTCCAAACGGGCATGCATAAGTATTTTAAATCAAGGCCTTCACATGCTGAAATTGCAGATGGTGATTTGAATATAGGCTTTTGAGATGCGTTTCTGTGCCAACTGTTTGTTGACATAAGTGAAACAATGCTTTTCTTTTTAGTACAAGACATGAGGTATCGTTGCAGAAATTTTTGTAATGAATAAAAAAAAAAGCCTGGCTGGATGCTAATGCTGTGCTTACTGGAGACCCGAATCAGTTTTCCTAATTGTTAAATTGATCATTCTCTTCTTGACGGTAGCAGTATTGCACTTGATGAATGGTGTAGAACACCAGGCTTTTTTTCCATTAAACATGAATTCAATTACACATCAAGTGCTCCCTTTGGGCTCTAGTATGTGAAACTCTGATTAAGAACTTTAATTGTTATGATCATTAATCTTTTTTTTTTTATTGCTGTACTGTATAAAGAGATTACCCGATAAAGGTGAGGTACTTCATGTAGGCTGGGTGGTGTGGGATGTTGCTGGTCTGTGCCTGGCTCCCTCTGAAGTATTGTAGGGCTCGGGGGTAGGCATGGTCTGGGAATGTTGTTTATGTGCCTGCTGTCGCACACCAGGAAGGAAGACTGTAGCAGACTCCGATTCCTCCCTGTCCTGAACGGAGCTCACTGACAGCACATCCCCTTCCTCCTGGATCGTGTACTGTGCCGTGAACTACTGAGGTGTGGTGGAGATAGCCCCAGGGTGGAAATGGCACAGCGGCGGTCAGTCGTTCGGGCTCAGGCCTGCCGTTGAGAAGATTGATGCTGTAGTAAGGGAGGTCAGCGTTGAGGCGTTGACCTATGGCCTCCAGGATCTCCGTGGCATAAAGCAAGCCAGTTACTTCAGACGTTTTTCATCAGTTTTTCTTAAGCTTTGTTTAGTGGAGGAGCAAGAGATATATATTTTTCACTGGGCGTTCCAGTTTCAGAATTCCTTTCGTTAATCCTCCTCCGCCTTCCCCGTTCTTCTTCTTTCTCCCTCCTAGCCCCGTGCTGACCCCATCCCGATTTGCAGTTTCTGTCTGGGCACGAAGGAGTCGAATCGCGAGAAGAGGCCCGAGGAGCTCCTGTCCTGTGCGGACTGTGGCAGCAGTGGTGAGTAGATCAATCAGGGAGGTGCTGTCTGTCCCCCAGTCTGCCTGCCTGCACCAGAGGGGTGAGCAGATCAGACAGAGGTGCTGTCTGTCCCCCCGTCTGCCTGCCTGC